TTATTTTGCAAACTTTGCATATAATGTTATTAAAAAAAAACTAGATAATATCAAAAATGTTTTCTTACGAGTGGTCTTAAAATCCAAATGGCTTTTGTACTCATCTTTAACTAGAGATAAATTAATGAAAAATTGTTTTATTTCAACGGGATCAAGTCGTTCGCCAACTTTTTTGTGATCTTTAATTTTGATCAGCTCATCAATCTGTTTCTTGTCTAACCCTTTGCCCTAAGTACAAGTATTAAAATCATATAAATATACCAATTGGTGTGGTTTTTTTAATGCGCTAAAATTGAAAAAATATTTTTTCTGACACATGTTCAAATGCCGTGTCAGACAAAATAATAATAATTTGTCAAGCCTTTAACGAAACCATAAATTCTTACACTTCTTTTTGCAGCCAAATACCCATTTAAGAACTCCACTGCGTTAATTGTTTCATCACCTATAAAAATTAATTTAAATTATCAACCTTGGCAACATAATAAACCGCATCGTTAACTCAATAATACCTTCTTGAAATTCTGCTTTTAAAAGCATTCTGACTTTACTTTCTAGCACTAAAGCATCAATGACTTGTAATACTTCGCTGTACTCAAGTAGACCATCGTTATTGCCCATTCGGTCGCGTGCCTCGAACAGGCTAACTAATAGTTGTACTTCGAAAGATGTTAACATTCGGAACTATGTAAAAATACGTGCATGGAAGTAAGAAAATCAGACAAGTTTGAAATAGTTTAATATTTTTTTTCGTCATTACCGTCCATCTGTCAGTTTTTTTTTCGCTATTGGCCAGAAATACCAAAAGATCTTGTAGATTTTGATTGTTGTTCATATCTATAAGTGCAAAATAAAATAGAAAAAATTCTAAACAGATTTTAATCAAGCTAGTCAAGACAAGTGCTTTAAACTAAAAAATTGATAAATTCTTGAAAGAACGGTATTATTTGAACAGACAATATTTTGGGTGGCTGATTTAATATTTTATGACAACCAAAATGTTTAAACTGAGTTTTAAAAGATAATTTATTACCTTTTTTAAATTCAAAAGTCATATTTTTTACGCCCATCATTTTTGTCATGTCCAAAACTTCTTTCATGGGAATTTCGTTTTTACAATCTTTGTAACCACTGAATACCGCAACAATATGTTTAATTTGAACTTTAAATAATCCGATACTCTATAAAGTATTATAATATGTACAATGAATTAATATTACGTACAATAAACATTTTCTTTTTATTACAAATAGAATTATTATAATGTTTTATGCTAACCTGTGTCACTGTTACGAAGTACAACGCACAAAGGATAACAGCACTTATAAAATGCATAGTGGCTTTTTTTTCAAACACTTTGTTAAACCAGAATTATGTCTTCGATACCGAAGTCGGATGATTAGTGAAATTCGATTCAAGACGTTGTATAACGCGATTGTTAAAAACAACATAAGTATAAAAATATAGATTAGCAGTTGTTTTTTTATTCATTTTATTTACATATTATAAACCTTTAAAGTTGTTTTTTGGCCCAAATGTATAGTATTAAACACAGTGTAAGCCAGAAAAATACTGCATATTTACTTAAGTTAAATACAATAAATTTGTTTTACATCGTCCAAAAAACAATAACAATATAGCGAACGATAAATGTTTTTAGAAGCTTTATAAAACAATATTATTCTTTTAAATAATAAAAAAAAATGTTTTATACACTATACCTACTATACGATTACATTTATTCAAAGGATAATAAAATCATTTAATAATGCGTATAGTCACCAAACTTATCCACACAACTGGCATTTTCTAGGATAGGGTTGCTAAATTTCAAATTGTGTAAGTGGGGCCATGGCTCCCTACCTAATGGAGGTCTCGGGCCTTCCCCAAATTTTTAGAAAATAGATAATTTTGTTAAAAATGATGTATTTTTCAGTTTTTTTGATGATTTCTAGGTTTTTTGGGGGCTGAGACACTTTAAGTTATTAAGTCGTTAAGTTATATAATTTTTTTAATTGAGTGTACTTATTTTATATGCTTTTGACTTGGGGAATTCGTATCAATGAATAATTAATACAATCATATCATCGAACGCGCTGTTACAACGGTGTACTTAATTAGAGTACACCTCCGACTTCATGTATACTTCTGATTCAATTGTGTGTTTTTATATTGAGCAGCTAATTTAGACACAATCTTGTTCGATGTATTATCTTTAAGTTCTCTCGCATGTGTATATGAGCGTGAAGTTTGATTAATAAATATAAGAAAAATGTAATATTAACCCACCTGTTATGTTGCCATATTTGAAAAAATAAAATATCCAAAACTATGCCTAGTAGCCAGGATGGAGTATTTTTGGTTATGCATGGGTGTCTTCCAGCAGGTAGTCGGTTCTACATGTATCTATCCAAGTCGACTATTTTGGCGGTAAAAATGGCAAAGTTTAGTTCAAATTGGACTTGTTCAAGACTGTCCGCTTATGTGAGATATTCAGGTTCAGACTGCGGTAAAAAAATTATTGGTTCTTAACTGCGAGCCCGGAGGGGATGGCTAACAGTGTGAACATTTAGTGATAGAAATCAATGATTTTTTGATCGCTAAAAATTTGTCAAAATAATCTGAATTTTTTTTTCATTTCTTCTAGTATCGATATTCTATTAAATCTAAATGATTTGATGCTTATCTGAGAAGATATTGTTTTTATCATGATGTGTTTATATTATTTATTTATCATTTTTTTTTTGTCTGTTGACCACTTTTTTAGTACAGAAATCGTACCTGTAAGGTACTTTGCAAGGCACAAAAATTATAAGTCATCCTTTCATCTTAGAAATTGAAGAAAAACTCTCAACAAATTTACACATTTTGCAACATAAAAGTAAATTTAAGTTAAATTAAAATTAAATTAAATTTAGTTTAATTTTTAGAAAATTGTTCTTAATTTAAAAAGCTAATATAATAAATTAATTAAAATAAATAGGGTTTAAACACACAAAGTGTGGGATTTCATTGAAAAAAAAAATTTAGCAAGCGTGGGTTAGCTATTTACTTTGAAAGTATGAATAAGAATAATAATTGAAAAAGTATTTTATCTTTTATAACCCAAGGTCATATTGTATTAGATCAGTATAATTTGGCAGCGGTTTTTTTCCAGTTCATTAATAATTTATATTATTGTATTTGAATAAAATGAGTTCAATAAATTATTAAATGGTTAATATTAAGCATTCCATTGTTCAGGAAAACGGGATTAGGATTTTTAATAGAAATAAGATTGAAGATTGAAATGTAGCATATCATGATTCTCATAAAAATATTATTTACTTGCAGCGTTTTGCTATAGGTAACGTATTTTTTTACTTAAGTACACCGGCTTACAACCTACTATATATTTTTTTTACAGTTGGTGTTGACAGATTTTGTCGTTTAACCTTGGCTTAATCAAATAAACGCAAACCACAAGTGCTATTCAACCGTAATTCGACTTAAGCGTGTATCGATGGAACAAAAAAAATATCTGTACAGTCTGTACATATTATAAGATATTACTTTTAAATTAAAACATATTCATTTATTTTATTATGCGGGAACGTCTTAAAATCACGTTGTAAATTGTATAATTTATTATTCCCTATTGAATTAACACGGAAAAAACACGTTTTGATCTCATGTTCTGTATAGGTATTTGTCCACACAGTTACCTGTTAGTTGTACATACCCGCGTGCAAAAAAAAGAATTAGGTATAACATTCTGGTGTAGAAAACAAAAATTCATATGCATAATTTCAATAGTTTCCCGTTTTTTCCACTAAACAAAATACAAATATAAAATTTTAGATATTGCAGCAACTGTCCATTGGGATTTGATAAGAAATAAAAAATCTAAATCTTCACATTCTATATTATAATATGATCAAATACTTTTTCGATTTCGAGTTGTTGAAATTAATCTTACAAAAAAAAAAAAAAATGATCTTACTTCATTCTATCTTCCATTCTATAATTAAACAAAATGAAAAAAAATAAATTTGGAAGGTTATTGTACACATTGGCTGTACTTTGATGTTTTGACATAATTTGATTCTACAGTCCGGTTGCATCAGTCAATATTATGTTAACCTGTCAAAACAGACGAGAAATAAGTATTTTCGTCTCCAAATAAGTATAACTGAGTGCTTTCTAAAGAAGGTACACTTCCTGACACGATTATGTTCGAAACAGCGTCGACGACATTACCAAACAAATTATTAACACAGCGTCCGCCGGCATTATTGATAAAATATAATGTTACACATTTTTCAAAGATTTGGCCTCGGTTGGACTGAGTAAGTTTTCATTCAAGTCTACGAGTACTCACTTGATTGTCAGAGTGGGAAAATCAGAAGACCATAATGACCTCTTAAAATTGTTTAAAGAACGAAAATATAATTTCCATACATATTCGCCAAAAGCGACCAAAACCTGTAGCAAAGTTATCACTCAACCCACGTAAACGACATATGTACTGCTTCTATTATTTTCCTTTTATTATTATTAATAGCTGTAACACAGTTTTTATTCAGATAAAATAATTGTATTTTTTCTTTCTGTTTTATTAAGAATGTCAATTGTAATATAATATTTATAATTGCCGAGCTGTACAATTTTTTTGGTGAAAACTAATATAAAAAAATTGATTCTAATAATTTTCTCAGATAGTTTGAATATTTTTCTACAATTTGAAAATGTTTTCCTTCACCCCATAAATGTAAAATAAATATGGACTCCATTATCTATCGTGTTAACACTTCTAAAATGTTGTTAGACTGTTTTTAACCTATATTATGAATACTTGTTTCTTGTGCTGTTCAGTGACTAGACGGCTTTCAAGACCTAGGATAGGTAATTATAATGATTTCGAAATAAAAACGTCATTTTTATGGTATTACATTATTTATTTAATCGTTTTATGGATTGACAAAAACAAACTTAAAAATCTTATATTATCAATACATGCATATAAAAATAAACCACTTTGAAAAAGAACCATTAAACATTTATTGGAGCTCAGCTATATATTTCTTATAATTCACATAGTTATTAATTTTCGCATTATTCTCTTCATGATACTTGCTATAATCAAACGTATCCGGATCGATTATTATTAGATTTATTTCTACTGCCACCATGAAGAACTCTACTACGTCCAATTGACGGCTGGCTAAAAAGTACATTACTTCTAGTTAACAAGTTTATTTAATTTTATCTCTAAATCTACTTTAAACTATTGTAATATCACAATAATTATTGTGGAAACATCAGCAGTCTTATTTAGATGATACTTTTTATAATAGTAAAATCACACCTTTCCTGTCTCGTGGAAATCATGAAAATATCCAAATAGCAAAAATGTAATTACTGTATTCTTAAAATATACACCCTAACGATGTATAAAAAAAACCAAGAATTTATCTCATTACCAGTCGCATATCTTAAACTAATGGATACTCTTCCCTTTTTTAGCTTCGATGCAAAGCGAGAAGGTATTGGTTTTACTCTGATGTGGGCTTTTTTTTTAGCTGTATACACTGTAACTTTTTAAATACTAGACCAATTCCTTCGAATAGCAACTCTATAAATCACAAATTTTGTCTAGTTTGTACTTTGGGGCGGTAAAAGTTGAAAAAGTTTAATTCTTCAGAGACGAAAGTTGAAAAAACAAAAAAAAAACCGTACGAGTTTTTAAGTTAGAACTTTTACTGGCAATAATTTTGAGAAAAAGAGTCGGATTGAGTTGAAACGTATAAGAAATAATTATTTGGTATGCCCGCACACGTCAGTTGTGTCAAATTTAAACTATACCCATTTCCCACCCCCCTAGGGGGGGTACAAGTTTTTTTGTTTTTCGGGGTTTTTAGCCGTAATTTTAAATTTTTTGGGTTGAAAATTTGACAGTAGTTGGAACTCATATGTATCCATAACATATTAAACGAGAAAAAAATTCGGCACTACAGTTTTTTTTTAATTGCCGGGAAACTGTGTTTTCGCAGATTTCGTATATTTTAACAAAAACACCTAAAATCTTTAAAAAAAATTGATCAAATCATTAAAATTTTTTTATGTATATCTATGCAGAATGATACTATTAAGTTTTGTGCTCAAGTACCACTTTTGACTTTAAGTTAACACAAATTAAATTTTTTTTAAATTTTTTTTTTAAAACTAAAAACCCGATGTACCAGATGGGAGAAACGAACAGACATTAAAAGCTATCAGTTGGTAACGTCTATCCGTGTTAAATAAGGTTAGGGCCCAATGATCGGTATCATGATATTGTGTTTATTACATGATATCACAGACGACTAAATCGTGTAACTGATTATAGTAGACACTCGATTTTTTGGGAAAAAAACCTAGCGATTATAATTTAAACTATGGACTACATACGATTGAAACATGAATCGTCGACCATTCCAACAAAATATAACAAGACATTGTATTTGTGTTATTTGGTCCACTACGTTTTTGCAAAAGAAATAAAAACCAGTACAGTGGGGTCGGGGCATAGTGGTGACGGGGAGGTCACAAGTTTACAGGAATTTTTAAATCTGAAAGTGATAAAATCACTTTCGAAAAAACGCTTCGATGCAAATCGGTAGTTAGTATTTTCAAGCCAGTACAGTCCAAACCAAGCACAGTATAAACTAGCAAAGTTAGAAAGTTTTAAATGAAGGTTCTGTATTTACAAATGAGCATCAAAGCGTTTATTTGAAAGCGATTTTATTCAATTTTATTACTTTTATTTATAATAATTCTTGTAGACCTGTGACCTCTCCGTTTCCTCATTGCTTTGATTACATTATGCCAATACTCTACTGTACTAGTCCTCTCGGATAAAATCACTTTCAAATTAACGCTTTGATGCTCATTTGTAAGTACAGAACCTTCATTTAAAACTTTCTAAGTATGCTGGTTTATACTGTGCTTGGTTTGGACTGTACTGGCTTGAAAATACTAACTACCGATTTGCATCGAAGCGTTTTTTTGAAAGTGATTTTATCACTTTCAGATTTAAAAATTCCTGTAAACCTGTGACCTCCCCGTCACCACTATGCCCCGACCCAACTATGCTCCGTCCCCACTATGCCCCGACCCCACTGTACTGGTTTTTTTATGTAGGTTTTGGATACGAGATTGGATAATTAAACGAACCTTGATGAAGATCTATTTTTTTTTTTTTTAACAAAATACAAATTATTTTTTTCTTATGTTCTCTTGCCTAACATATTTATTTACCAAAACAAACATTATCGATTTAATATCGTTCGTTTTATGTAGATACTATCAAGGCGGTATCTAGAGATTTATTTTACTAATACACACTGTAAAAATATCTACACACTGTAAAAATATCTACACACTTAAAACTGCCTAAATCATACTCTATGCTCGTCCTCACCGTAATAGTTATTTAAAATAATCAAGCTAATTTCGTTTTAACTATAATTTACAATATTACCATCGGTATCGAATCTTTTAGTAATAGCGTCAATGTCTTGGTTCAGGGAAAGCCTTTTAACAAGGTCTATAAGTTCATGGTCACCGAGTGCACCGTTTTTGTCAGCGTCGAGCAGAGTGAATTCCTGTATAAATTCTCTTACTGAAGAGGTAGTATATATGAGATCAGCCTGTGATATCAACAAAATAAATCATATATTACTTTTTTAGATTATGTAGTGCACAAACAGACGTTATCCACCTGTTATTTGTAATGTGATAACATGGTTTGCACGAATAAAAATATATATATTTAAGCGTTCAAAATATTTTAATATATTCTATGGGATGTAATAGTATTAAGTTCACAGAATTTTCATAGAAAAATATAAAAGCATTTTTTTAAAATAATTTATTAAAATTAAGTCAAATAAAATATCGAATACATATAAAATTTTCATTCACGCAACACTATATTAATGTAGAAAATATTTTGTTTTCCTATAGAAATTACTGTGATAGCCTGATAACAAAAAAAACTATAATCAATATAAATGGTTTTCGTTGCTGTACTTTTAAGTATAAGTTTAAGTTCAAAATTTAAATTGTACGAACAATTTTCTATACATTACTACTTTAAAAAAATGGGTAGGTGCGTCTTTTCAAAAGCATACAAAGGCCTATCGTAATTTCTTTTTTTGTTAACAGCCCAAAGGCTGGTTGGCAGTAATTTTCCACTCTTGACGCTTTTCTTTTTAGAACACAATACGATCTGCAGCCCATATCTCTTACTATTTGACTCATGTAGTCCAGTGGCGGTCGCCCTTTACTATTATTCACCTCAATGGCACCTCTATCATTTTACTAAGTAGACTGTTATGGCGCGGTATGTGTCCAATTAACTTGGCTCTTCTTGTTTTTAAGGTCTTCAGAAATATTCTTAGATCTCCGGCTCTTCGATCTACTTCTTAATTTGTTATGTGTTCTGTCCAGCTTATCTAAGTAGCCTCTTGCTACATCATGTCTCGAATGCTAGGAGTCTTTTTTCTTCTGTTTTACCTATTTTCCATGTCTCGCTTCTATACAGTGCTATGCTCCAAATATATGTCCTTAGTAGGGTTTTCCTCACTTTTATGTCGATATTTCTAGATATAAACGTATTATTCTTCCCCTGAAATGCATATTTAGCCTGGCTTATTCTGCTTGCTTTATTAAGTCGTCGGTTATCTTACTTCTCAAATATTTGTATTCATTCACTTGCCCTAGTGTGTCGCCATCTAGGGTTATTTGAGTTTGGGTTACTTCGTTACGGCTACAAACAAAAACTTTAGTTTTTACTTTGTTTATATTCATATTGTTTCATTTTTTGTTGCTGAGTTCATTGTTTCTAATATATTCTGTAGATCCTTTTCTCTCTTAACTTGTTTTAGTGCCAAAATAGCTTCCCTAGTGCCTTTTTCTCTTCTAAAGCCAAATTGGTCCTCAGTTAGCAGTCCCTCTATTACTAGTTCCGTTCTTTTTAACACAATACGAGTAAGGATTTTTGACGCATGCAAAATTAACTTCTTTAATACTTGCTTCTTTAATCTGCTCCTGGATAACTTTTAATGTCTTTAGTTTGATTTTTATATCATCCTCTTACAAGTATATAATCTATTTGTGCTCCTCTTATAACACCGGGAGCTTGCCATGTATATAGTCTTCTTTTGTGATGTTGGAAGTGTGTGTTTGTTATTACTAGATTTTTTCGTACACGGAACTCTAATAAGATATATCAACTTGGATTCCTAATTCCAAGTCCATACTTGCCGACAATATTCTTTACCTTCCCTTCCCCACAGTGGCATTAAAGTCTTTAAGGATTATAAGGTTTTCCTCTCTTTTGACGGTCATTAATAAATAATTTAATTCTTTATATATTCTACTTCGTTCTCTTCTTCTTCAGCGGTGATCATATAAACTTGGATTATCACAGTATCTATTGGTTTAGTGTCTAATTTGACTAGAACTATTCTATTGCTCTATTACACATATACATTTACCTTGTGACACATTTTTTTTGAAGAACTATTCCTACACCTTTTGTACCCAACATTCCTTTCTTGTGTTCCTGAGTAAATTGATCTATATTCCCCTGTCTAAAAAACTCCTGATTTAGACCATCTCATTTCTGAGATGCCCAGAATATATATTTTAATAAAATCTATACTGTAATAAATATCGTATTGTCTATAGAAAAAAAATTATAAATATTACTGTTTTGTCGGCCCCTTGGTTGTGCTCTGCTAAAAAATACAAAAAATTATAAACAAATTACTAGAGTTGATTATTTTTTTAGCAATAAAAACTTTTCGTTTCAATATCGATTGTTTTATGTAGTTATTATCATGGTGGGTTTTCGATATTTATTTTACTTACTTCTACTGTAAACTAATTAAACGCGTAAAACAGCCTAATTATTTTTATATGCTTGTCTTCACTAACGTAGTTACTTAAAATAATTGTTAAGCTGATTTTGTAAATGCTATAGTTTGCTATATTACCAGTAAGACGGTGTTGTTCAAGGGTGTGACAGTCCTTGTTCTGACATTGATGATCTGCACTTTCTTCTAAGAAATATAAAAAATTGTTATAAATAGAGTACATTTTAATTAAATTACAATAATTATAACATTGATATTACAGTATATTCTATAATGAACGATAACATTTAAATCATCTATAAATAAAATATACTTTGTTTATTTTTAATTTAAAAAAGATAAATTA